AGCAACTGCAAAAACGAATACAATCTTCTAGTTCTATTGCTAAAATGAGAGTCAGGCACGATGGATCGATCGAACAAGGACATGTACATGTGAAACGATCAAGGGTCAAAGTTAAAAATACCACTGCGCAATCGTGACCAAAAAAGAAAAAACACGGACGACGCGCGACGCACGACGGGCGACACACGACGGACAACTCACGATGGACGACGCACGACGGGCGACGGCAGATATGGAATTCCATAACAAGATGCAAGTCACTCTCAAAAGACAAGCCAAAGCGCTTAACCTGCAGTATGTAAGGGCAGCAGCCTACGATCTTGTGATTGCTAGACAGCGTCTGGTCAACATGCTGCTAGTTGTCTTAGGAGCTCTTATCATCTTTTGGACACCAGCATTGTGATTTATAACTTATGTTCGGATGCAAAAGATCAGACTGCACTGCCCATGTGAAGGGCTATGAACTTGTTGGATACATCTGCAAATTTCTATATCACCTTATATTCTATTATAAACCCTGAAGTGATAATGCAGAAGACAATGAAGAAGTGTTCAGTTTTAGAGGCGGAAGGAAAACCCACAGAATCTTATCTATGGGTTGAAATACAAGAAGTTCTGACCGGGCTTAAAAGTCGCTTGTTACAGTTGTTTTAATGAGCGTCAGAACAGAGTTGATGTTGAGATGGCTCCATTCCAATGTGAAATGGCGAGTGGTGTATATATGTATTTCATCGATGTGATTAGTCAAATTCACAATTTTAAACCACGTCCCTATATTTATTCAGATGGATCTGGGTTGGAGTCATGAATCCTTTGGTCCAACGAAATTGGAAACACAATTTGCGTTTACGTTTTCTGCGATGACCACATTTCTGACTTTCCCTGTTGCCACCTGCCCAGATGACTAGCCACAGTAGCCCAAATCCGACCCATTTAAAGTGACCGAGCCCTCCCTCTTAGGAAGCATCGAAATGACCATCTCCAACATGCTTCGGTGGGGGTCCCCCACCTCAAAGCTTTAGGATTTCAATAGGAACTCCGCCTATGTGCTTGCCTATTACAGGGGAAGGAATGTTAAGACATTTTGACAAACTTTATAAAGAGCCTCTAGACTACGTCTCATTTGAGTAAATCGGACACTACGAATCGCCACTTATATACTACTGCACAAGGTCGGTAAGTACAAACTCTGACCATATTTAAATGTTAAACGATTTGCACGGTCCTGGTCCCACTAGAACATAATTCGTCTTAATCCAGGCCTGGAAGGCAGGGGCGCCCCCCGACATTTCTTCCGATATTGCAGAAAAAGGTTGATCCTCGGACATGGCACAGGCGAGTTTTTAGGGGCGGAACCCCCCCCCCGGCTGTGAGATTGGTCAAAATAACCCGGCCCAGGGAGGATCAACTCTTTTAACATGTATCATTGATGAAAGTCGGATGTATTCCGAGCAACTTGGACTCCATCCACGAATCGCCGTTTGGTATCATAATGATAAAAGGCGATACATAGCGTCCAAGTTACTCTATTTACTCTAACAGGACTCTAACGTCCTGATTATGTGTGTGCACACTTGTTTCCAGACTTAGTTTTGAAGACTCTCTTTAATAACACCGATTTTCGGAACCAAAAACGATGTGAGGACAGGGAAATATCTCGACAATTTAGCTTTAATTTGTTCAACATGAAAACGCGTTAAAAGATTTCCGATAACAGCATGCATTGAAGGCCAGTCAACTTGCCATGCATTAGACCTATGTCGAGTCTGCGAACGTACAGAGTTGATCAACATGATGATAGAGTTGGTGGTATGCAGAGCTCTAAGATTTATTTTCTAAAGATGAATTTGCGCCGGGGAGATATATTAATTTAGGGTTTTCCCCTTTTATACACCAGGTAGGGCAAAACACAAGAACTAATAGAGCTCCAACATGTTGGAGTTCAGACGAATTATTAATTCCCATCAACACAGAACTTACAAAAGAATCGTTTCAGAAACATGAAACGTGTTGAAAGGCAATGTAAAATGGTTTTAGAAAGTAAAACGAGTTCAAATGAGCCACTTACCGCACACTAGTCTCGCCGATCTTCTGCATTTTTTCTTACATGTTTAGTAGGGAATTGACTCGTGCAAATCCCTCTCTCGTGAGTGCAGTTTGTATTATTGATTTTTGGCAAAGAGAAATAATACAGTAAACATTTGATTTATCATTTAATCATTTAATCATCTATAATACATTTTCAAATTTGCTATAAAGACAGTCGATGATAGTGTTTTGGTGTTTCGATTGTTAAATCACTACGAACTAGTCCGAAGGGAGACAAAAATGGCAGCCTCCATGAAAAGTGCTTTCCTCTCAGAAGTGTGTTCTATGTCAGGAAATGTATGACAATCAGGTCCTGCATTAAAGAGCCCGAGTCTAATTTCACGGCACTACTTACTGTGGAACTCTGCGCTTATGAGGTACCGTTACCACAGAATCTATTTCATGGGCTCCGTAAGAGAGGATTCTATAAGGCTTGCGCAGAAATTCTGTGCTTAAGGGCCGATCTGACGCTTATAAAGGAGAAAGGGGGCGACCTGTCGCCGCCGTTTTCAAAAAAGAAGACCACTCATAATCTGTGACTGGCAACATCCTCATGAAACTTTTCGCCCAAACAAGTTTGGGCCAGATAGAGATTTAAACCCGAAACGATATGGCTCTTAATTTTGTTCAAAGTGGTCTCAATAATTTGTTGCTCTTCACTGTAAGAGGTTGAGAGAGTAATGTCTATTACACTAGTAAATGAGGATTTTTTTTCGGTTTTACACTTTCAGCATCCACTGTTCCGAGCAGGAGACGACAAACACCCTTTTTCGTCAGCAGACGATTTCAAAACACGCATGTGCATTGACTTCCCCGCTCACCGTAGCAAGACGTTTTCGGCGGGTGAAATAGGATAGCGTAAGCGAAGAATTTTTCAAGTACAGGAATGATCAGTAGTGCGTTGAAAGTGATACAAGTGATAGCACGGTTTGGCCGTAGGAACTACTTTTTTACCATTAAAAAGACTCAAGGAACTTATACTGACTATACAAAGAAACAAATGTATGTAACACGAGTAAGCCGTTATATGAAACGTTTCACACCACCGTCGCTGGCAGGCTGTATAGTTGCACGCACTATGTACCGACTGAGTTTACGTACATTCCAAACTTAAGGTCAAAGTGTAAGAACGCACGCGTGTGGTGTTCGTGCCTTACTCATAATACTTTCGAATTATAGTTTGCAACCGACTTAAATTCATAATTTCTCTTAAAAGCACAAGTTGAAGACTTCCTTCACATCATGCAAACTGAAAACAAAAGACGTTGGGGGCGTCCAATATAGAAACCTGTTTTGATGACTTTACACTACAGCTTTGCATATTATTATACGACTGTTCCATTACTCGGGGTGAACGCGTCCGCCCGCGTGAGCGCTGTGTTTGCTTGCACTTAACTTTGAATTGAAAGAGGTCGGACATTGAGAGCGACTTGGAATTGCTTTTACACTGGGTCTTACGGTAAAGTTGAACCATCCCAATTTGAACCGGGGTAACCCGGGTTATGGCACGCCGGGCCGCAACTGAGTCCAGAAACTCTGGGAGAACAAGCGCATAACATCATCGAAACGTTAGATTTGTTTTGCCGCCCTCATCGACGCCTTTTTTTTACTCTGAGTATTCTCGAGGTGGAACTGAGCTCCCGAAAGACGATTTTTTATAACTCTGATGAGAAACTGTCACGTTGGTCATTATATGGGTAATAATGACCAGTGTCCAATTTTCTATAAAAGCAATGTGACCGATATTTAACATTTGATTTCATTAATGAGGATTTGGATAAACGTGCAATTTTGTCTTTTCAAACTTAACGTACATACAAGTCCTGTATAGCAAATTCGATTATGATGTTTAGTGCGACGTCTCTGCTGAATAGAGCAACCGACTGTCGAGTGCGGACTAGAAGTTTGGAATTTAGGCCGTCTCCGAAACGGGCTTCCAGAGCACCCTACGGCTAGGTCTATCGTCTACACGTATCCACGCATTTCCAATGGAGCGAAGACCTAGACCTAGCTCTAGCTCTAGACAAGAGATTGGATGCAGCCTTAATCTTTGAGCAATAAATCCTAATTTGTACGATGATCACGGTTGCAAGCCACTTATTCCCTGTGCTCGGCAGGATGGCTTGAGGATTCGTCAATGTCAAATGAAGAAGGCCGTTCTATTGCTATAAGTGACCGTCGGACATGTTTCTAATTACCTGCGCCTCTCTGTCACGCAAACGCCTATCATCCGCATTTTTCCGATGGACGCTGAACAGCAGACTAAAATGTTAGTTGTGCATGAAGGGGGAGTTAGCAGAGCTCCCTTGCTGAAGCTTGTTTCACAAAATACTAAAAGTTGGACAGAATGCTGTTCCAGAAGAGGATTGTGGTACAAGAAATCATTGAACATTCTGATTACACGTACACAGGGATAACTTCACTTAACTATTCATTATCTGCAGCATCTGAAAAAAAGACTATGAATTCTACTTCCCAATTCAATGACAGTGAGCAGCTCATTGAAAGCAGATGGGGCTGTCAGTTGATGGTAGCAGCAGGACTCACCGGTGTCTTTGGAAACCTCCTAGTGTGCTTCGTCATTCTACGCGTGAAATTTCTACACACCATAACCAATGTCTTGCTGGTGAATTTGGCTGTGGCCGATATGCTTCAGGGTGTTGAAATCATTTTCTTCTATTTAACGCGTTCTTCAGCATGTTCCATGGTTGCGCACATTCCAGCAAGCTTAACTGGAAAACAACTTTTCTGTCGACTGTTCGCTTCAAGGTTCTTTTCATGGGTTTTGTCCAACGCGTCAGCTTACAATCTCTGTCTAGTCACGTTTGAGAAATATGTTGCAATACTCCATCCCCTGCACTATGCAAGGAGACTTACAGCAACACGGATGAAAATCCTGACTGCTTTGATCTGGGTAACGTCTTTCATTTCCGCCGTGCCTTTTCTCTTCGTCCATGAGCCGAGCGATCTTCCTAGGAAGGCGTGCACAGCGAACCATTATCAAAGCAAAATACTTCCACCTGTACAAGTGTTCTCTACCCTTTTTGGCTATGCACTGCCCATAACAGTGATGAGCGTGGCATACTACAAGATGCAAGTAACTCTCAAAAGACAAGCCAAAGCCCTGAACCTGCAGCATGCAAGGGCAGCAGCCTACGATCTTGTAATTGCTAGACAGCGCCTTGTCAACATGCTGCTAATTGTCTTAGGAGCTCTAATCATCCTTTGGACACCTGCCTATGTTGTTTACAACTTATGCCCGGATGGAAAAGATCAGGCTTTACCTTCTTTGTGTAGTTCAAAGGGCTATGAACTTGTCGAAAACATCTGCAAATTTCTGTATTACATGAACTCTGTTATCAATCCTGTTATCTATGGGTTTAAGTACAAGAAATTCCGACAGGGATTAAAGGTGGCTTGTTGCAGTTGTTTTAGTGAGCATGGTAATCAGAACAGAGTTAACAACGAGATATTTCCACAGTGAAACCACGAGTGGTGTTTACTATGTCGATCTGTTACCTGGGGGTTAATGCAGTCTTTGCGGGAAAAAAGCTCATGAAGACAGTGATGTCTTTGAATAATTTTCTTTAGATTTGGTTTGGAATTCATGTCATTAACAAATGGTAAAAAAGATTGATCACATTATTTGAAATTATAAAGTTAAAACGATCAGAGCTTTTTTTGATTTATTTTTGATCGAAGACGCCTTTTCATATGCGCGTCAACACTTGCGCTCCCGGGGCGATTTTCACGGCCGAAGGCAACGTACACCTGTTTCAGGTTTATGGAGTCGATTTTTGTGACCGTGAAAATGACAGGTATGAGCGCATCGTGTACGCAACGCATACAAAAACGGATATAATATGGAAAGGCGCCTTAAAACTAACAAATAAAGATCACGAAAATCCAAACTGTACAATTGACACAGAAAAGCCGACAATTGGCAAAGAAAAAAATTGAAGTTTTGAGCATCACATATTGAAAAGCAGCAATACAAACATAAGAAAGTGTCTTTTGTGCGGTTCTCCTAAAGCAGTATATGATATCAAGATGTAAAAACGTGCTAAATGACACATAACGCGGGTTGGTCTGAAATGCGCAAGATATCAATATGTAAGAACGTGCTAAATGACACATAACGCGGGTTGGTCTGAAATGCGCAAGATATCAATATGTAAAAACGTGCTAAATGACACATAACGCGGGTCGGTCTGAAATGCACATGATATCAAGATAATAAGAAATATTGCGTCAGCCAACTTTCATTTTTTCTTTTGGCAAAGTTAAATAAACTAGGATCTCGAGATATGTTCAAAACTATTCAAATTTAATTCGCAAAAAAGGCTTGTTACAACGAGAACAGTTGTCTGATCATTGTGTGATATATCCAGTCTTTTCTTTACCTCCGTCCAAATGTAAGGAAATTGGTACATGTCTGCCCACTGCAGACAGCAATACTGGCATTACTTTTAACAACGTTAACTATGGCATTATTGTGCGATACCATCGTGCACTTTAGCCAAAGAGAAATTATTAGGTTTTTTCCACAAAAGCGTGGAATCATCTGTTAACCTTTTTGCACTTGGCCGTGACCAGGTTTCCATCGCAAACTGACACTACACTAATTAAGTTTATGTATTAGCTAAAGGCTAGGTTTAATTACAAGAGGAACTGAAGTGCATATGTGCTTGTCTGTACACTGATGAGACTTGTGCATTGCCTAACGGTCGTTCATCAAGTAAAATTAGCAAACAAGTCTGTTCCTGACAACTGATTAGTTAATAATAAAACTTTCCTTCAACACTGCATTCATCGTGTCCTTTACCTCATAACTGTACCATAGTGGTTTCGCAACAAATAACCTGAATTGCCTGGTGGAAAATTGGAACCATCATGTAAAAGATTTAGACGGGTTCACATCCCGTGCATAGTCCTTAGACGTCTTACAGATGTCCTCCGAATGTAGGCCGAAAGTATCCGGCAGTCCTGCCGAGTGTATGTAAACGAGGAAAAGATGCCTGCTCAATACACCAATCAAGCAAGAGTGCAAGCATATATCGGCTTTATTCTTTAGCGAAAATAACTGTTTGTATATTGTTCATCTATCTAGAGTTTAACACATATAATTATTGATTTGAAATACGTTGCTGCAAAATGATTTTTTGATAATCACTGAAAAATAAATTAGCACACTGTGATCATCAGATGATTAGCAAGGAAGGGTATCTCTGCCTTTTTGCGTTCCTTACTGAAACGTGTTTCATGCTAAAGCATTGCTATAGGCCAGATAAAACCGAAATATTCAGCATCCAAATTGATGGGGCAAATCGCACGCGTTAAACTGCTGCCAGCTACTGGTATCTATACTACTATAAGGACGGGGACCAGTCGAGTACACGGTTGAGTGACAGCTGGATATGTAGGTTGTTTCCTCTAATGCATGATGCGTTGTACAAATTATTTTTACCGTCTCACTCGTGTAAATATACCTTTCACTAATGAACTCATAATTATGCAGGCAGCGTACAGCTGGCCTTGGCAGCAAGAAGTGTGAGCGTGCCATGGAAAACGTGTGGCGTGTGATGTTGATAATTTTCTCTCAGCTTTTGTGTCTTCGTTCATTTTTTTCTTCATAAAATCTCATTAAATTGTTTTTGCTTTTAGTTTCTAATCTAAGCGGGACTGTTAGTGTAAAAAGAATATTTTTAAATCACGACATTCCCTGTGCGCACGAGATCGCCGTATCTTAGCCGGTTTCCTTTCGTGCTGTTTTATAAGAAAAACGATTTAACTGAATCAAGTACTGAAGAGAGTCAGAAAACCTGAGAGAAAATGATCAAAGCCACAGCCCTTTACGTTTCCAATGGCCCGCTCACAGTTATTGCCGCCAAGGCCATTTGTGCACATGGGTGAATCGGGATGGGCTCCAAGACGCACAACTGGGCCTGTTTGTTCATACGGATCTGGATCGCGATCAGTGATCCAAAAGCTGGTTCGCACAATCCGTTAGGACGGTTCTGGTGTAAGTGACCCAGCTCAAGATCACTGATCCGCGATCTGGAACTGTGATAAACAAACAAGCCTTTAGTTCCAAAGACTAGGGATGTGAGCACGAGGGCATGGTTATATGTCATTTCCAGCCAAGCAGTGCAAAATATGGATGTTAATATGCAGTGCCCAGTGGATGCAGCTTTGACATAATTATCGTGCATGTTTCACAAAACCATGCATGCTCCCCATTTTTGTGCATATTCCTAAACACTATTTTTTTTAAACTTTGTATTCTTCTTCAAAGTATGCAAATTCGTTTCATACATGTACTCCTATTTGGTCAAATGCATCGAAAATGCACTTTTTAACAAAAGTCTTCCCTGAATGACATTGCAGCAACAGCGCCCGCAGTTATCCAAGAAATCACGGAAAACCTTGTATTTAACACTGTGTATCCAGATTTTATTTACTGAAACATTTCTGAGAAAGGGATTCATGATTGCACACTGTTGTGCACGTAAACAACAATGAATCAGAAAAGAAGAATATTCAGTTCAGAAAAAAACAAAAATTCATGACTTTATGCTGTGCAAACCAAAGTGACACTTGAGCTTTCTTCCTGGGATGTTCTCAATTTTCATTAAGAATATTGAAACACCCGTTAGCATACTAATAAGGCGTTGAAATAGCCTTTGAAAGAGTGTAGCAAAAGCTTAAAAAGTGGTTAACTGAGACACAAAGGTGCGTTTTAATAAAATTAAGGGTTGCAGCTATGTCGAAAGCAAATTTCAAGTGGAGTGTGTGCAAGGTTCGGGCATGGTGCGCAGGCATGTGAGATAGGCAACCAGCAACGCGCTGGAGGTACGCACCCTGGTATGGCGTATGTTGCTGGCAAACCACACGCCGGCCTGCTGACTCATCAGTACTTGTAGCCAACTCAAATCCGCGATCCGCTACGGAGAGTACCCTTAAACGCGAAACAAAATTCCCAACCCTAGGCTATGCCCTAAACCCTGTCCCCATTCGCGGTCCGCACCGAACCACCACCAGCCTCACTACCCAGAAATGTCCGCGTATGTGAAGCGCCAAACCCGCCTGACGCCGCAGCAACAGTCGCCCATAACTCGAGATCCATGTCCGCCCACGCACTTGCTGGGTCCGCTGCCTAGTTCAGGCAGAAGGCTCATTGTAGGCTCGCTACCCAAACCCGGGAAATTGGTGCGACTGTGCAAATCGTCTCCGCGTGTTTCAGCAATTCTCCAGCCGGGGCAGGGTAATTTTCGAGATAAACCGCCATGAAGGTATGAAAGGAGGACAACCATTTATCGACGGAGTTGATTTTCTTTCGTGCTGCAGCCGCCGGTTCAAAGACCATGCGACCTCCCTCAAGGGACAGCATCATTTCTGTCCCTCATGGGCGAAATCGATACGGTACCGTGAAATAATTGGCCTGGAATGCTAGGGGTTTTCCCCGCCTGTATGAGAAATCTCGACGGCGTTGACGGATTACATTGATCTTCGTTCGCAGTAGCCGGATAGTCCTTACGTTTAGAAACAACTAAAGCAGTGTGGAAATGTTGTGAGCATCAGGCTCAAACTTATATTGATTTACAATGGTTAGACCACGTTGGACACAAAACCTCGATAACAATTTGGGTAAAAAGGATATTCATGGAGGTCGTCCCTCAGTCACTGCGGAGCAATATACTAGGCCTACATGTGTCACTTCACTCAGCGGATACAATACGGATTCAGGTTAGACTCGTTTGGAAAACGCCCATAGAAGTTTTGGTCGCCTGAGCTGAATACCGTACTGTGGACTACTGGTAGGCCTACGATCGGCAGCTTATATTGCGCGTGCTAACTGGCCTCTGAATTTCTTCTCATTGGATTCTGGATTTTGAGAGTCGTTTGCATTTTTTACATTGTTGTGGGGTAAGTACCCATTAACTGCAAACTGAAGAATCGTATCCAAACGCCTGTAATTAATCGTGTTCAAAAGAACACCGACATTTTACTTTGTGTCTGTATGCACCAGGTGCATATGGGAAAAAGGCACCATATGCCTGGAGCTATGACCACATAGTGTGAAGTGGGGGTCTATGCAGACCGAATGTACGGGTACAATTCTTGACCGCAACTAGGACTGACTGATCCCTCAAAGATTTTTTGGGGGGTTGGATGACTATCGATTTGAAAAGAACTAAGAACTCGTAGTGGTTCAGTTGCTCTGTTGCAGCATGGCTTTGCCCGCACTATTCATTGCACGAACATGTATGCTCACCCGTGGTTCACCTGATGCTGTCGGTATACCAATGTAGTTTTCACGTAGATTATACGGGGTGGTGCATGACAGGGAAAGCCATGTTCCAGTCCCGTCCCCTGCCACTATCATCGGCTTCTAATTCGATCGAAAGAGGCTGTGGTGAAACGCCGTAGCTAGTGTTCGATGTTTGCGAATGCCGCATGGAAACGCCGAACGGCGTGTTGTCA